CTGGACTACTGCAATGCACTCTACATGGGGCTACACTTGTGCCTAACCTGGAAATTACAACTGGTGCAGAATATGGTAGCCAGGTTAATCACAGGAACATCAAGGAGCGAGCACATAACACCAGTACTGAAATCCCTCCACTGGCTGCCAATCAGTTTCCGGGCACAGTACAAGGTGTTGGTTTTGACCTTTAAAGCCCTACATGGCTTAGGTCCATCTTATCTTAGGGACCGCCTCTCCCCATATGATCCCCCCCGTGCCCTCTGGTCCTCTGGGAGGAATCTGTTACAGCCAATAAAAACTAGGCTGTCTCAGACCTCCCAGAGGGCCTTCTCTGCGACTGCTCCCAGACTTTGGAATGGCCTGCCGGATGAGATCCGTCTTATCACTACTCTTGCTGCTTTTAAGAAAGCAGTAAAGACGGCTCTCTTTCAGCAGGCTTTCCTGGAATAACTGTGGTCCGGTGTTAGATGAGTTTTTAAAATTGTTATACTGATTCCTGTGTCATTAGGATGTTTTTATTTCATTGTTGTATTTTTAACTGTTTTCTGGTTTAATTCTGTTTTAAGGGGTTGGGAGGGTGGATTATGGGTCGAGGGAATGTTTTAATTTGTTTGTTTTAAATTGCTGTACCCCGCTCCAATTGCTGCGCAGATGGGCGGGCTATAAATAAAAAATTATTATTATTATTATTATTATTATTATTATTATTATTATTATTATTATTATTATTATTATTATTATTATTATTATTATTATTATTATTATTATTATTATTATTATTATTATTATTATTATTATTATTATTATTATTTATGATGGGATGAGCTCCTGGCACTAGTCCCAGCTTCTGCCAACCTAGCAGTTCGAAAGCATACAAATGCAAGTAGATAAATAGGTACCACTTTAGTGGTGAGGTAACAGTGTTTGGTGTGTTCATGCTGGCCACATGACCACCAGAGCGGTCCTCGGACAACGCTGGCTCTTCGGCTTAGTAATGGAGATGGGCACTGCCTCCTACTGTCGGTTATGACTAAACATTCATGTCAGGGGACTACCTTTACTTTTACCTAACAAGATTAATAACCAATCCAAACCTAAATAAGTGTCTGAACAGGTCTCATGACCCTTAGAAATATCACTCTTGTGGATGGGCACTACACATAACGCACCAAAGGATTAAAAAAAATTATACTTCTACATAGTCTCTACAGACATGATTTTTGTTTTCATGGCAGCACAAAATATAAATGAGCCCCAGATTAGCCTTTTCCCATTCCCACTCACCTAATGGAATCAAACTTTCTTCTAAAACACATTTTTACTACTCTGTAAGGTTTATTAGTTACTATTGTGGCCATGCCTATCTTCTCAACAAAGCTGTTAAGATGGATCTCTTTCGGTAGGCCTTTCTTGAGTAGGTAACCAGCCACCGAAAACAGTTAACCCTGTCTCTGATTTTTGTTTAGCCATTTAAAATTATTTATTATTTGTAATGTATTATTTATAATTTTTAATTATGTTTTTATTTTTTGTTTGTTTAATTGCATTTTAAGGGGGTGGGCTATTGGGGGAAGGGATTGTTTGTTTTATCTTGTAAGCTGCCTTGGTTGTTTTTACAGAGAGGCGGAATAATAATAATAATAATAATAATAATAATAATTACTGTATGCTTGAGGAACAGTGTGAGCCAATACTTCTATCTTGACAAAAGCTGCAAAGAGAAAGAGAATTCCTCAGAATTTATTTGATGCCTTTCTGCATGTCTTCAGCTGCTGGCAGTTTATTTAGATACATCAGAAATATGCTGGTTGTTTTCAGATACACAGCAGAAAAACTGTGATGATAGATCATCAGTCCTCCAATTCATATAAAGAAGACACTTCAAAATTATTCAGAACATGGCATAAATGTTTCTGTTTGGTAATAAAAAACAGGTTTAATGTTTGTTATTACAAGTAATGGAACAATTTTGAGAGCTGTACATTCTCTAACTAATTGAACAAACAAAAAGGTCTATTTTATGATGATTGTGGCCTAAATCCAATTGCTAGTCCCCTATTAGAGTAAATCCCCTGAATCAATGGCATTCATATGAGGGAATGCAGAATCAGTGAATCTGGTCTAGTTGGGACTAGTAATTGAATTTAGACCCACAAATCCGAATTTATAGAAGATCAATATTTGAAATGCTGTCAGAAGATAGTCTGATTTAAAGATAAAGTACTATAGGAAGAGAGAAGAAGGGGCTTGGAGTTGCCCATCAACAAGCATTACTGGGGTACATGTACACAGTAGAAATGAGTTTGACACCACTTTAACTGCCATGGCTATAGCTTACAGAATCCTGGGATTTGTAGTTTTGTGAGATGTCATCAAACAGCCAGTGGCAGTGAGGGCTCTTTAGTCTTTTACCTTGTAAAACTACAAATCCAGGATTTCATAGGATGGAGCTGTAGCATTTAAAGTGGTTTCAAACTGTATGATTTCTACAGTGCAGATGCACTCCTGGAAGCCTGACTGAGCAGCAGGTATACAAGTCCCCGAGTCACCTTGTTCTCAACTATGGTGAAATGATGAAATGTATTGCATTTCTGTTTAAGTTGTAGATATTATTTCTAAATTTTCAATTATCCATAATAATTGGTATATGGAAAATTCATGCAAAGGCATGCATGACACTAAACTTCATGCATATGAGATTCAACCTGTATTTCTGGAGGCTAATGCAAGCTTAATTTTCAGTTTCATCAGTTCAATCTGGATTTCTGAAGGCTAACCTAAGGTTAGGTGTAATTTGAATGGGATGATTTTTGCTCAACCAACCCGCTTTTCACACTGTTATAACCAGGCTGAGGAAAAGTTGTGGCTGGGTTGGCTGCAGGTTTAAAGCCTAAATGCTATTTTAATTACATGTGGCAGCATTGAATTTCCACTGGAAAACATTTGAGAGGCTTTTGGGTAGATCCTGCTATGTAAACAATCCTGAAGCCTGAAGCTAAAACATGGTAACAGTACTCACTACACATCAGAATAATTTATGAAAAGGAGTGAACAAGAAAAGAAGGCTGATAAATGGTAGACTAGCATGGTGGAGTGATCGTCTCCAGTGGTATCATTGAAAGTACTGTAGTGCCCTAGTTATAATCAGTGGCCTCACTAGGGCTGGTGTCACCTGGTGCAGTAACTCATGGTGTCACCTCCCCTCACATTACCTCCCATACCGCATCACACAGAATCCTTAGTAATGTTTTTTTGTACTAATATTACTCATAGATCATAATTTCCATATATCACTGAATATAATGGCAATAATTGTGACATAAACAACTAGCAAAATTTAAATTATACCTTTAAATTACAATGTCACATGCACAGCCTAAATGTATTTACAGTACATGTACATTTTTCATGTGCTCAAAATGAAAATTTGGCATGATGTGATGTTTTTAAAGAAAATGTTAAAATAATAATAATTTATTTTTTAAAAAACTTAAAATTTAATTTAAAAAAACAACCCTTGGGCCTCTCTTTTCTCTTCCCACTGAGCCTGATCCCACTCACGTTTCTCTTCAGCATTTTAAAGGGACACAGGTGAATATCACAGCTCATTTCTTCCAAAAGGCAGATGTTTGGAGAGCAGTAGGGATCACCACCCAGGGTGCAACCTGGTGGGGCCTAAACCCCCTGATGACATCTCTAGCTACAAAGCTACTAAAATGTTCTTAGACCATGGTGGTTGCATACTATGTATCTTCATATGCAGAATTACACATTTATTGTACTACACAACACTTGTATTAAGTGGCAACCTTAAACAACTGAACCAAGACACAGAATGTGCAACCCAATGCACAACCAAATGTGTATGTGCATCCATGCACATTGATCAGCTACATGCACAATGGCACCACAAGTGCAACTCCACTTCTGCAAACTTGAATGAAAAATGCAACTTTTACTTCTATATGAGAACTTGCACATGGATAAGGCACACTCAGGATTCTGGCCCTTAATTTGTTTTACTCAAGGCTGTCTTAATTCCACTTGGTAAGGTGGAAGGCAGTAGGGAAAAAAAGGAAGACTACATTACTGGTGGATAGATTCAAATAATGAAACCATGGCCCTGAGTTTGCAAGATCTGGGTGGGGCTGCTGCTTATTGGGGCTTATGGAGGTCTCTCATATATAAGGTCAAAATTGACTTGATGGCAAACAACAATGACTTCAGCCAGCACAGAGAACAAACAAAATAATGCAGATGGGTCCCAGGGACTATATAGCAACCACTACAGATGGTTGCACCATGGCCAAGTCTTGGGAGTCCCAGTCCCTCAGAGCAACCCAGCTGCCCTCACACATGATTCTGGGGCTTTGCATTAGAAGCATCTGAAAGGCTGCCACACATATGATATCCTAGCAAGAGCCCTGCATGATGTGCACATCCAGTAAAGTCATATGCATTACCATGGTTGATGCCTCAAATTTTGTCTAAGCATTTCATGTTTGCAAGACCCAAGACC